CTCTGACACCTACAGCCAACGGTCGGTGGGTACGTCAGACACAACCGTTAGTTGGCATGGCCCGGGAGCAAGCCCACTGAAATCACGTGTCCTCTACCTGCCCCTGTCCTTTGGTGTTCCCTCACCAAGCGAAGTATCGCATGCTGTGGGCTCAGCCCCACTGTACAGTGAGGAAGAGCTAACAGAGGGCGGTCAGGAACGGGGGGAGACATCCGCCTCTTCAGCAGCCAGGCGAAGAAGTACTGGCGAGGAGAGTGGCTCGGTAGCCGGTCTAGAGACAGGTCTGTCTCCTGACCCACACGCAGCCGAGGGGGCTAGTAGTGAGGCGGAGACCCTAATTGATGATGATGAGGCTGATCGCACTTGGCAGCCTCGTCGTCATCAGGCTATTGCTTCCGCATCATCAGGAGAAGAGGGTGGCAGCTTGGCAGCGAGCAAAACAGTCGGTGGGTTGCCCAGGAGGCAGCAGGGTCGCAGCAGTGTCAGTGGAGGCAAACGGCCACGGAGTAGAGCACCAGCTCCACTGCAGCCTACCACCACGGCCAGTAGTGGTGCCGGTGTGCACGGAGGAAGTAGCAGTCAGCCAGTGAGGAGTATCGGGGGCAAAGTTTCCTACTCGGCGGTGTGTGGCAATTTTTCGTCAAGCCGCCCGAGGAAGTAAACGTAGCCGTATGTCGACTATGTGGCCAGAAAGTCAAGCGTGGCCAGGGGGCCCATGTTGGGACTACAGCGTTGCGTCAGCATATGCAGCGTCGCCATTTGGTGGCCTGGGAAAACCGTGATAAAGATACGGCGGTTCTGCCTGCCCCAGCCCCCGCTCCATCACCCGCTCCGTTACTTGCTCCGTCACCCGACGTCAATCGCCCTCTATCAGCCAGTCAAGGCTCCAACACCTCTGCTGAGGGGAGTTGTCGCTCGTTGGCATCTTCCGCTCGTTCAGATGCTCCTTCTCCTGCTACTCCTCTTCACGGATTCCGTCAGCAGTCTTTCTTGGAATCCGTTTCCAAGAGACAACAGTTTGCGAGCACGCACCCGACGGTGCAAAAGCTGAACGTCCTCCTGTCCAAGTTGCTGGTGCTGCAGTCCCTCCCTTTCCAAGTGGGTGGACTCAGCACCTTTCCGAGAAATGATGGGCTTGTGCCGCGCCGCGGTGGAGAGTGCCAAGCCGTCATTTCTTCGCCAAAAAGGCAGTGCCAGCCCTGCATTCACATGTAGAAGAGATGGTGGGCCAGTCTTTGAGCATGTCGGTCTCTGCCAAAGTGCACGGCAGCGCCGACGTGTGGAGCTGTAACTACGGTCAGGGACAGTACATGTCATTTACGGCCCACTGGGTGAACGTGGTGCCGGCACAGCCGCACCAGCAACTTGGACAGGTCACGCCGCTTTTGCCTCCACGTTTGCACGTCCTTGGTCCACAAAAGATGTCCGCCTCTACCACCTCTTCTTCCGCCGTGTCCTCAGCCGCCACCCCCGTGCCAAGTCCCATTACCCGACCGGCATATCACATGTGCAGGGCGCAACGGTGTCACGCTGTGCTGCACCTGGTATGCCTTGGCGAACGTAGTCACACAGGGGGGAGGAACTTCTGAGTGTAATGAACAGAGAAATCGACAGATGGCTGTCTCCGCGCAAACTGAAAATCGGAACCATGTTGACCGACAACGGAAAGAACATGGTGTCTGCTCTGCGTCAAGGAAGGTTGTGCCATGCGCCATGCATGGCTCACGTGTTCAATCTGGTTGTCAAGCGGTTCCTAAAATCCACCATCCCACTGCAAGACATCCTTAAAATGTCACGTAAACTTTGCATGCATTTCAGCCATTCCTACACCGCAAAGCACACCCCCTCCTTGAGCTGCAGCGGCAGAACGGAATTCCACAGCATCGCCTGATCTGCGACGTTGCAACAAGGTGGAATTCAACCCTACACATGTTAGACCGCCTTTACGAACAGCGAAAGGCCATCACCGATTTCCTGATGTTACAAGCGGATAAAGGTACTCCCCTGTGTAACTTCGATGTCAGCCATTGGCAGCTCATGCGTGACACCTGCCGCTTGCTCAGGCCCTTTGAGGAGGCCACGCTATTCGTGAGTCGGCAGGACTATGGGGATGAACGACGTCATTCCTCTGTTGCACGTCCTGGAACAAATGCTGTTAACAATGGCTGGTCAGGGTGCGGTAGACGTGGCGCACAGATCTCAACGCCACATGACCCCTGTGGGGGCAGGACAGGACAGAAGAAGAGGAGGAGGTAGAGGAGGACATTTGTGCTCAGGAATTATTGAGTGAAATGGGTGGTTTTTCCACTCAGCGGACAGGAGTGGAGGAGCAGGAGCATCTGGTAGAGGAGGAGGAGGAGGAGACAGAGGACCCAGACGCACCGTGGCAGTATGCTGTGGAGATGGAGGCAGGGAGTCCCTCGCATTCCTTGGCACAAATGGCCCATAGCATGCTCGGTTGCTTGCGTAGCGACAGCCGAATAATAACCATCAGACAGAGGGATGACTTTTGGCTGTCCACCTTGTTGGACCCTCGCTACCGTTCAAAAATGGTGGCCTTTTTCACACCTGCTGAGAGGGAGGCCAAAATAACGTACTATAAAAACCACCTATGTAGTCAGTTGGTCTCTGCCTTTCTGCGCCAACGTCCATCCTCAGACACTGTGGGCCCTGTGCGCTCGCGTTCCGCTGCCATGGCAGCAGGGGAGGGGTGGGGTGGTAGGAGCAGTGGCAGCTCCACCAGCAGCGGCTGCCTCAGTCTGCAGTCGATGATGAGTAGCTTTCTTCACCAGCGCAGTGAGGAAACTACTAACCAGCCGCAGCAGCAGCAGCAGCATCAGGTGGACCTGGAGCAGGACCTCAAACAACAGGCTTGGGCCTACTTGGACAGCACCCTGCCAACCGAGGTAGACAATCCCCTTGACTACTGGGCAACGAAACTTGACCTTTGGCCCCAACTAGCTGAATTTGCCCTTGAAAGGCTGTCATGCCCGGCCAGTAGCGTGGATCGGAGCGCGTGTTTAGTGCGGCAGGAGGTATTGTAACTCCGCGGAGGACACGACTGTCCACCCAAAGTGTGGAGAGACTCACGTTTGTGAAAATGAATCAGGCGTGGATTAGTCTGGATTTCAAACCACCAGTTCCTGACACAACTGACTAAATCCGCCATGAATCATGCCCCAAACATGTGCCACTTTCAGGTCTCCTCACACTGCTGGTGTGTTCCATTTTTTGTCATAGGGTGCTGGCAGATTACGGGCCTCCCATTGCTGCTGCCAGGCCCCTAATCTGCCATGGGCCCCTGTACCGCCTCCTCATGCTGCTGCCAGGTCCAGAGTCTCTCATGGGTCCCTGTACGGCCTCCCATTGCTGCTGTCTCCATCGCCACACTCTGCCATGTGCCACTTTCAGGTCTCCTCACACTGCTGTGTGTTCCATTTTTTGTCATAGGGTGCTGGCAGATTACGGGCCTCCCATTGCTGCTGCCAGGCCCGTAATCTGCCATGGGCCCCTGTACCGCCTCCTCATGCTGCTGCCAGGTCCAGAGTCTCTCATGGGTCCCTGTACGGCCTCCCATTGCTGCTGTCTCCATCGCCACACTCTGCCATGTGCCACTTTCAGGTCTCTCCTCACACTGCTGGTGTGTTCCATTTTTTGTCATAGGGTGCTGGCAGATTACGGGCCTCCCATTGCTGCTGCCAGGCCCGTAATCTGCCATGGCCCCTGTACCGCCTCCTCATGCTGCTGCCAGGTCCAGAGTCTCTCATGGGTCCCTGTACGGCCTCCCATTGCTGCTGTCTCCATCGCCACACTCTGCCATGTGCCACTTTCAGGTCTCCTCACACTGCTGGTGTGTTCCATTTTTTGTCATAGGGTGCTGGCAGATTACGGGCCTCCCATTGCTGCTGCCAGGCCCGTAAATCTGCCATGGGCCCCTGTACCGCCTCCTCATGCTGCTGCCAGGTCCAGAGTCTCTCATGGGTCCCTGTACGGCCTCCCATTGCTGCTGTCTCCATCGCCACACTCTGCCATGTGCCACTTTCAGGTCTCCTCACACTGCTGGTGTGTTCCATTTTTTGTCATAGGGTGCTGGCAGATTACGGGCCTCCCATTGCTGCTGCCAGGCCCGTAATCTGCCATGGGCCCCTGTACCGCCTCCTCATGCTGCTGCCAGGTCCAGAGTCTCTCATGGGTCCCTGTACGGCCTCCCATTGCTGCTGTCCATCGCCACACTCTGCCATGTGCCACTTTCAGGTCTCCTCACACTGCTGGTGTGTTCCATTTTTTGTCATAGGGTGCTGGCAGATTACGGGCCTCCCATTGCTGCTGCCAGGCCCGTAATCTGCCATGGGCCCCTGTACCGCCTCCTCATGCTGCTGCCAGGTCCAGAGTCTCTCATGGGTCCCTGTACGGCCTCCCATTGCTGCTGTCTCCATCGCCACACTCTGCCATGTGCCACTTTCAGGTCTCCTCACACTGCTGGTGTGTTCCATTTTTTGTCATAGGGTGCTGGCAGATTACGGGCCTCCCATTGCTGCTGCCAGGCCCGTAATCTGCCATGGGCCCCTGTACCGCCTCCTCATGCTGCTGCCAGGTCCAGAGTCTCTCATGGGTCCCTGTACGGCCTCCCATTGCTGCTGTCTCCATCGCCAACTCTGCCATGTGCCACTTTCAGGTCTCCTCACACTGCTGGTGTGTTCCATTTTTTGTCATAGGGTGCTGGCAGATTACGGGCCTCCCATTGCTGCTGCCAGGCCCTAATCTGCCATGGGCCCCTGTACCGCCTCCTCATGCTGCTGCCAGGTCCAGAGTCTCTCATGGGTCCCTGTACGGCCTCCCATTGCTGCTGTCTCCATCGCCACACTCTGCCATGTGCCACTTTCAGGTCTCCTCACACTGCTGGTGTGTTCCATTTTTTGTCATAGGGTGCTGGCAGATTACGGGCCTCCCATTGCTGCTGCCAGGCCCCGTAATCTGCCATGGGCCCCTGTACCGCCTCCTCATGCTGCTGCCAGGTCCAGAGTCTCTCATGGGTCCCTGTACGGCCTCCCATTGCTGCTGTCTCCATCGCCACACTCTGCCATGTGCCACTTTCAGGTCTCCTCACACTTCCCAGGCAGATTGTCTGCCAGGTTCTCTGCCATGGGCCCATGGTACCGCCTCCCATGCTGCTGCCAGGCCCCTAGAGTGCTGGCAGATTACGGGCCTCCCATTGCTGCTGCCAGGCCACAGTGTCTCTGCCATGGCCCTTTCAGGTCTCCTCACCTGCCCCTCCCCATAGGGTGCCGCAGAGGGTCCTCTCCATGCTGCTGCCAGGCCCCTAATCTCTCTCATGGGTCCCTGTACGGCCTCCTCATTGCTGCTGCTGCCAGGTCCACAGTGTCTCTGCCATACGGTGCCACTGCTGCTGTCTCCATCGCCACACTCTGCCATGTGCCACTTTCAGGTCTCCTCACACTGCTGGTGTGTTCCATTTTTTGTCATAGGGTGCTGGCAGATTACGGGCCTCCCATTGCTGCTGCCAGGCCCCTAATCTGCCATGGGCCCCTGTACCGCCTCCTCATGCTGCTGCCAGGTCCAGAGTCTCTCATGGGTCCCTGTACGGCCTCCCATTGCTGCTGTCTCCATCGCCACACTCTGCCATGTGCCACTTTCAGGTCTCCTCCACACACTGCTGGTGTGTTCCATTTTTTGTCATAGGGTGCTGGCAGATTACGGGCCTCCCATTGCTGCTGCCAGGCCCCCTAATCTGCCATGGGCCCCTGTACCGCCTCCTCATGCTGCTGCCAGGTCCAGAGTCTCTCATGGGTCCCTGTACGGCCTCCCATTGCTGCTGTCTCCATCGCCACACTCTGCCATGTGCCACTTTCAGGTCTCTCCTCACACTGCTGGTGTGTTCCATTTTTTGTCATAGGGTGCTGGCAGATTACGGGCCTCCCATTGCTGCTGCCAGGCCCTAATCTGCCATGGGCCCCTGTACCGCCTCCTCATGCTGCTGCCAGGTCCAGAGTGTCTCATGGGTCCCTGTACGGCCTCCCATTGCTGCTGTCTCCATCGCCACACTCTGCCATGTGCCACTTTCAGGGTCTCCTCACACTGCTGTGTGTGTTCCATTTTTTGTCATAGGGTGCTGGCAGATTACGGGCCTCCCATTGCTGCTGCCAGGCCCGTAATCTGCCATGGGCCCCTGTACCGCCTCCTCTCATGCTGCTGCCAGGTCCACAGTGTCTCATGGGTCCCCTGTACGGCCTCCCATTGCTGCTGTCTCCATCGCCACACTCTGCCATGTGCCACTTTCAGGTCTCCTCACACTGCTGCTGGTGTGTTCCATTTTTTTGTCATAGGGTGCTGGCAGATTACGGGCCTCCATTGCTGCTGCTGCCAGGCCCGTAATCTGCCATGGCCCCCCCTGTACCGCCTCCTCATGCTGCTGCCAGGTCCAGAGTCTCTCATGGGTCCCTGTACGGCCTCCCATTGCTGCTGTCTCCATCGCCACACTCTGCCATGTGCCACTTTCAGGTCTCCTCACACTGCTGGTGTGTTCCATTTTTTGTCATAGGGTGCTGGCAGATTACGGGCCTCCCATTGCTGCTGCCAGGCCCCTAATCTGCCATGGGCCCCTGTACCGCCTCCTCCTCCCCATTGCTGCTGCCAGGTCCAGCAGGGTCGCAGCAGCAGTGTCAGTGGAGGCAAACGGCCACGGAGTGAGCACCAGCTCCACTGCAGCCTACCACCACGGCCAGTAGTGCCACTTTCAGGTCTCCTCACACTGCTGGTGTAGCAGTCAGCCATTTTTTGTCATAGGGTGCTGGCAGATTAGGGCCTCTCAGCTGCTGCCAGGCCCTAATTTTCTGCCATGGGCCCGAGGAAGTAAACGTAGCCTCCTCGACTGCTGCTGCCAGAAAGTCAAGTCTGGCCATGGGTCCCTGTAGGGCCTACCCATTGCTGCTGCTTATGCAGCGTCCATTCGGTGCCATGTGCCACTTTCAGGTCTCCTCCCCTGCTGGGGTTCCATTTTTTGTCATAGGGTGCTGGCAGATTACGGGCCTCCCATTGCTGCTGCCAGGCCTTAATCTGCCATGGGCCCCTGTACCGCCTCCTCATGCTGCTGCCAGGTCCACAGTGTCTCATGGGTCCCTGTACCGCCTCCCATTGCTGCTGTCTCCATCGCCACACTCTGCCATGTGCCACTTTCAGGTCTCCTCACACTGCTGGTGGGTTTCCATTTTTTGTCATAGGGGCTGGCTGTACGGGCCTCCCATTGCTGCTGCCAGGCCCGTAATCTGCCATGGGCCCCCGTACCGACTCCTCATGCTGCTGCCAGGCCCGTAATCTGTCATGGGCCCCTGTTGTCGCTTGTTGGCATATTCCGCTCGTTCAGATGCTCCTTCTCCTGCTACTCCTCTTCACGGATTCCGTCTGCAGTCTTTCTTGGAATCCGTTTCCAAGAGACGTTTGCGAGCACGCACCCGACGGTGCAGAAGCTGAACGTCCTCCTGTCCAAGTTGCTGCTGCCAGGCTCGTAATCTGTCATGCGCCCCTGTACCGCCTCCTCATGCTGCTGCCAGGTCCAGAGTGTGTCCAGAGTGTGTCCAGAGTGTGTCATGGGCCCCCGTACCGACTCCTCATGCTGCTGCCAGGCCCGTAATCTGTCATGGGCCCCTGTACCGCCTCCTCATGCTGCTGCCAGGTCCAGAGTGTGTCATGGGTCCCTGTACGGCCTCCCATTGCTGCTGCCAGGCCCGTAATCTGCCATGGGCCCCTGTACCGCCTCCCATTGCTGCTGTCTCCATCGCCACACTCTGCCATGTGCCACTTTCAGGTCTCCTCACACTGCTGGTGGGTTCCATTTTGTCATAGGGTGCTGTATGGCCTCCCATTGCTGCTGCCTCCACCGCCACACTGTGGCTCCACACTCTGGTTTTGGCCCCGTGACTGCCCAAATGAGTGAAGTGTGCCGTGATTCTAAGATCGACGGCACTCATCTGCATGTCATACTGACTGACAGTATTATTTCTCTTCCCCAGCAGACTCCAAGGGCATTTAAATTAAAGGTACAGTGTTCTGCACTAATATAAAGGCTCTCTGAAGCCTAGAAACACCCTTTTATAAGTTAAATTCGCAGCGAATATATTCGACTCGAATCAAAAATTTTTCACGAATTCGCCGAATCAGTCGAATCGAATTTTTGAATATTTCGCTCATCTCTAGTCAGCAGCTTCTCACAAGTACTGAGTCTGTTATGAAGCCTCCTTCTGCCCTCTGATGACTGTGGTGTTGGTGATGTCTCTGGACTGTGGCAATCTTTCATGAAACCAGAAATACTTCTTTCCTTCATCCTGCTGCATCTTTCCAGTGTTTGCAGCTTCTGTGTGAATATGGCAGCTCAGTCTTACTCCAATACTGTGACAAATTCTCATATCAGCAGTGTCCCCCTCCAACACTCACTCCCCATGTGAAACTACCCCGAGCCCTGGCTTCCTCTTCCCTTTACCCCTTTCTGCAGCATACCTTCCTCCTTGGATTGGAGTGCTATAGAGTTCTCCATTTAATGAAGAAGTGTGGATAATATAATAATAAACATACATGCTCATCTATAGTGCAGCTGGATGAAGAGGAGGATTCATTCAGGTTCTGAGGAGGTACAGCAAGGAGACTTAAGTGTTCCTTAAAGAGACAGTGCTATTTTTTTATCAACATTTTTGTACAGCTTTGGTTTCTAAGAAGTTTGTCAAGTTTCGTTGGCGTTCAAGGGGGTAGTGCTACATATATTCCTAAAAGCCACAATTCCTTTACAGACACAGATATTACTATATAAATGTAGTGGTGACATAATCACTGTATTGCACATGGCCTATACAGGGAACAGAGCTGCGTGAGAGACCCAACCACTACAGGCTGCCTGAAGAAAACTACAGGAGCGGGCGGAGACAGTACTAGTCACCCTGCACAAAGAGAGAGAGCAGCAGTGACCAGTCTTTATTACAGGAAGCTCCAGCACAGAGGAAAAAGTTTTACACTGAATTACTGCTCAGATCTGGAAGTGTTATCAGCCCTGCCTCCTTCTACTCCCCATTGACTCCAGAACAGCTACTCCTTATGTTATAGAGATGAGGAGAGAGGGAGGTGTTCTGTGTCCATCACTAGAGAAGGGGCGCTGTGTTGTCAGCTCAAACAGGAAGTTAGTTACTCATTGGATTTCTGGGTAATTTCCTGCACTTGCAACATTTTAAAGGATTTACCATGGGGAAATGTGTATGTATTGCAGATACACTATACTGCCAAAAGTATTGGGACACCTGCCTTTACATGCACATAAACTTTAATGGCATCCCAGTCTTAGTCCGTAGAGTCATTATTGAGTTGCTGCACCCTTTGCAACTATAACAGCTTCAACTCTTCTGGGAAGGCTGTCCACAAGGTTTAGGAGTGTGTCTATGGGAATGTTTGACCATTCTTCCAGAAGTGCATTTGTGAGGTCAGGCACTGATGTCGGACAAGAAGGCCTAACTCGCAGTCTCCGCTCTAATTCCTCTCAAAGGTGTTCTATCAGGTTGATGTCAGGACTCTGTGCAGGCCAGTCAAGTTCCTCCACCACAAACTCGCTCATCCATGTCTTTATGGACCTTGCTTTGTGTACTGGTGCACAGTCATGTTGGAACAAGAAGGAGCCATCCCTAAACTGTTCCCACAAAGTTGGGAGCATGAAATAATCCAAAATGTCCAAAATGTCTTGGTATGCTGAAACCTAAGAGGCCAAGCCCAACCCCTGAAAAACAACCCGACACCATAATCCCCCCTCCACCAAACTTTACATTTGGCACAATGCAGTCAGTCAAGAACTGTTCTCTTGGCAACCACCAAACCCAGACACATCCATTGGATTGCCAGACAGAGAGGCATGATTCATCACTTCAGAGAACACGCATCCAACACATTGTACTTGGTGATGTAAGGCTTGGATGCAGCTGCTCGGCCATGGAAACCCATTCCATGAAGCTCTCTATGCACTGTTGTTGTGCTAATCTGAAGGCCACATGAAGTTTGGAGGCCTTTAGCTATTGACTCTGCAGACAGTTGGCAACTTATGCGCACATGCGCTGACCCTGCTCTGTCATTTTAAGTGGCCTACCACTTTGTGGCCGAGTTGCTGTTGTTCCCAGTTGCTTCCACTTTGCTATAATCCCACTAACAGCTGACCGTGGAATATTAAGTAGTAAGGAAATTTAATGGATGGACTTATTGCACAGGTGGCAACCTATCATGGTACCATGCTTGAATTCACTGATCTCCTGAGAGCGACCCATTCTTTCACAAATGTTTGTAGAGGAAGTCTGCATGCCTAGGTGCTTGATTTTATACACCTGTGGCCATGAAGGTGATTGGAACACCTGAATCCAATGATCAGGAGGGGTGTCTCAATACTTTTGGCAATATAGTGTATGCACTCCATGTATTTTTACACACACAATTCATC